TCCTGCGATGCCTCTTATGTTGGACAGACAGGAAGAAAACTGAAAATTATAATAGATTGATTGAGCATCGTAATCATATTAACCGGAATAGTAACAACCAATGGGTGATCACAGAACATCAGATTGAATTTAAACATGACTTCGATTGGAAGAAATGATGATATTAGATGAAGAGCGTTTTCTTAATAAACATTTAATATCTGAATACCTTCATATACCCATACAACAATATAGTTTTAATTTACGCTCAGATACAAAGGGTGTACATTAAACTTATATACAATTATTGAAAGACATTAGATAGTTACATTTTGTCGGTTTATACCAATTATTTTTTATGTATTGATATTGTTCTTTTTTCTTTTTATTTTCCTTGCTGATCTGTTTTACTTATTATATTAAATGTATTAGTCATGTTTCGATCAATATGCGGTTTTTAACTTGATACTCTTTAGTGATAATAAATTTTAATTGATTTTAATCCAATGTCGAGGCGAATTCCTTCTATGTCTTGGAGTGAGTCGCCAGTATTTTAATATTAATTTGTAACTTATTGAATAGAATTTCGAAATACTTATAAAATAATTTATTATTTCGAATAGATTACAACATCAAATCTGTTAATTTGATGGTGATTTTTTCTTGGACATAAAGGAATTGATATTTTAAAATTGTATTATTGAGGACAGTTCCAAAGTGAACTGAAACGTACTATTTTTTGGAATAAAGATTCTATTTTCTGGAATAAAGATTTAAGATTTCGTATTAACTACTATGCTGACTTTCATTCATCCTTATTTTGTTGTTGAATTTAAGAAAGTCCATAAGAAGATTACATTATTACTATTTGAAATTTACGCTGGCTGCAAGAAGAGATTTTCTAAAGCGAAACCCTAATGTCATCTTAACAAAAGTTGATAAGGGAAATATCACAGTTGCATTAAATAATAATGATTACAAATCTAAAGTCTTGCAGATGCTTGAGAAGATAAAGAAACTTACATAAAATTAACAAAAGAGCCGATTAATAAATTAACTAATTATGTCCAAGATCTGTAATTGAGATGAAAAACGAAAAATTTTATTAATGATTTAATGTACAAAAAATTATCTTGTAGCGAAGGTATTCTCCCGAGAGCGTATGCTTTACCGAAAATACATAAATTGAATTGTCCATTCAGATTAATAATATCATCTATAGATAGTCCTCTGTATGCCTTGGCAACTTTCATACATGATGTCAGTGCCTAAATCGATTCACAATATTGATAATAGTTTTCAATTGGTAAAAAGACTTAAGGGGGCGCATTTTGAACATGTCTTAATTTCATTGGATGTTGTGTCCTTATTTACCAATATCCCCATTGATCTGGCTATTGAGAGTATTGATAAGAGGTGGAATTGTATGAGGGATAAGGTCAATATCTCGAAAGATGAATTTATGTTGGGAGTCCGATTGATATTTAATTCAACTTATTTTAGTTTTGATGGACAGTTTTATAAACAAAATTTTGATACCCCTATGGAATCGCCTCTCTCTCCAATAGCAGCCGATTTAATATTGGGTCATTTAAAAGTATCCGCGGTTTTTTCATTCAAAAATTAAACAAAAAACCGTGGATACTTTTTAAATGACCTAATAATAAGGGATTTGGAAAGAACCTTAGAGACTTTGGGTTTTCAACTCTTGTTTTATTTTCGTTATATAAATGATATTGTTATGGCAATTCCAAAATATCTAGTTGACTTTACGCTTGAGACCTTTACTTCATTACATGACCTTTGATTCATTACATAATTAACAGATTAAAATTTACTTTAGAATTTGGCGACGACAAAATAAACTTTTGGATATTATTATTATTATTAATAACAAACTAATTGAATTTGACTGGTATTATAAGCCTACATATTCGAGAAGATAGAAGACCTTAATTTTTTATCGTCACATCCACTCTCACAAAAAAGAGGCATAATAGATATCACAGATAGAGCGTTTTTATTATCGGAACCCTAAATATCACCAAAAAAATTTTGAACACATTATCAGTACATTACTAAAAAATAATTATCCAATTAATTTAATTTTTAATACTAACGCTATTTAATACTAACTTTTAATATTAACGCACGTTTAAAAATTCTCATTCCTAAAGGTACGATACAATAAAAAGAATCAAGTGAAGAAATCAAGAGGGATTATACTTTTTGGTTAATACTATCTTCTTGGTTTTTAATTTTAATTTGTAACTTGTTGGATAGAATGGTTTCGAAATATTTATAAAATAATTTAAGGTAATTAAATTTAAGGTAATTAAGGTAATCGAATAGATTACAACATCAAATCTGTTAATGATGATTTTTTTCTTGGACATGAAGAGATTGCTATTTTAAAATTGTATTCTTGAGGATGGTTTTCCAAAGTGTACTAAAACGTATTATTTTTTGGGATAAAGATTCTATTTTCTGGAATAAAGATTTAAGCGTATTAACTACCACGCTGACACTTATTCATCTTGATTTTTTGAATTTTGTGTTGTATTTTGGATAATTTTGACTTCGAATTTGAACAATTTTAGTCCTTACAGGAATCAAATATTATTTATTCATTATTGATAAAATTCATATTATCAATAAATCAGTAACTATTTTTCATATATTTTTGAAAAATTATAATCATTTACTATTAATAATTTTTTTAACAAAAATAAAAATTTGAAATTTGTACGTAATAAAAAAGAACAAACAAGAAGAACAATAAGTAATCTATAGAGAAAATTTTTTCACAAACAAATATAATTCAAATACTTACTTGCTCAACTCATGTTCAACGTATGAATTCATAGCACTAGAGACCACTGCAAAACGAATCTACACAAAGTGACTTTGCGCATAAAATTCTTGCGGATATTTATACAACCATTTCCGATCAATGACATCAAAATGCAAGCGTCAGATTTTTATAATAAAAAGATTTTTAGACACATCCGATCATAACATTAATGTAATCTGACACCGCAAATTGCAACGTTAGCAAATTTGCAAGTTTCAATGTGACTTTGTTAGCGACAATATGAAATCATTTTGAATAAAGGTGCTCAGCATTATCAAAAATATAGTAACGCGCAAAGCCTTATATCAGAAGTATTGTTTCGGGCAAAAGTATAGCTTGGGTCCAAAAGATTCCACGAAGAAACTTCAGCATTTTATCAGTTATAATTTGATCATCAGTTATAATTAGACCATCATAATCAATATATCAGCGACAAAAGTACAGTGCTTCGAGTAAAAGCGTATCTCTCACTCAAAACTGTACGAGAAGAGGTCGCGTTCGAAAGATTTCAGCATTTTTTATCTGTTTTTCGCATATCATTAAAGCGCAATTAAACATATATAATATCATATTATTCAAACAAACATCGAATGATATTAAACGTATATCATATTACTGCCAAACGTATACCGAACCGTATATTAAACATATATTAAATCGCTATCGGTACATGTTCAAGCAGCTAACGAACAATTATAGAACCATTATTAATTTAATATAAATAGCTATCGAACATCTATCGGTTTATTGTAAATAGCTATCGAACGGCTACCGAACAGCTATCAGACTGATATTTAACAACTATAAATAGCTTTCTAACAGCTATCGGATTGATATTTAACAGCTATAAACAGTTTTAAACAGCTATCGAACTACTATCAATCCATTTTCAACATTTGTCTACTATATTTAATTCGATGATGTTGATGCATGGCCGGGCTTACCCCATCTTCTACGCTTAGTTATCGTAGTGTATCCACTTTTCATCGCCAGTCACGATACGATGCAAAAACCCTTTCCTCTTCTGCCGTTGAAGCAGTTCACACGTGAAAAGACGCCGTTCGACGTCTCTCGGCTTCAACTCGTACGGCACCTAATGTCCTTGCTTTCGAATCATTTTTAATAATTTCAAATGTTTTGAAACTGTTGTGTGATCAACTCCTTATGATTCTGCAAGTTCAGCTAGCGTCTGACATGAGTCTTTATGCAGTAATGCCTCCAATTCTTTGTCTTCAAACTTTAGACAGAAAAGAATAAATAATTGCATGGCAATTTCATGTTTGATGAAATTCGATATGAACTCAACGGTGTGGAGATTGACCGCAACAGAAATGTAGACATAACTAGCATGCTCAAGAATTACGTGTCAATACGTATGATAAAACTTTGATTGTGCTGAACGCTGGATGGAATTCTAGATCCGACACGGAGGAAGGACACTATAATTTTGCGTGCCGCTCAGCATGCTGTTGGGATTTTACAGAGATTACAAACGTCTAATCGTCAACGAATTGATTTTGATATGAGTGCGCAACGATTACAATCACTTGGTGAGAAATTCTGTGACGGAATCTGAGGTTGAATTATTTAAGCACAGTGGCGGATGCCTCTATACTTAGTTGTATTAAACGAGATCAATAAATTATCAATGCTGCGAGCATTGGAAAACGGTCGTTATCTGAGCATGAGTTTTCGCTCGTGGGATCTGTACGAGTATCCTCTATTACAGAATACGACCAAGCATTCATGGGCCGACAAAACGGCGACTCAGCTTGAGAAGCCTTGATATTATCTTTGCTCTGCAGACTGGTCGAAAGAATATCATGTCACAAGATGTTAGCGTGTCCGATGATTGTAATTTGAGTAATGTGAAACTTTATCTAAATTCAGCGTTTTATTCAATGTGTTCTCATTTGTCGAGAAAGGGCCTTTTGTGGTCATTGATTGCTCGCGACAAAACGAATCAAGAGTGCCACTGTGAACGTACGCATAGACTGCAAGGAGAATGTGCCCGCAAATACAACAGCTTATTGTCTCATCATACACGATCGTGTAACTCAGTATAATCCATTGACCAACGTAGTGCGCAAAATCTACCTAAATGCACCTTTGACACGATATAAAATCTACGTTACGTCGCAATCGACGTCGCAGTCTTCTCGACAACATGTCCATGCCAACGTTCGTGGATCTGCAAGGATTCATTGTTAAGAAGAAATTTATCGTAAAGGAAGTGGCGGTGCTGAAACAGGGGACCGTTCTCACGCATTACATTTTTACGAGTCCCGTGCCATGGAAATTTTTGACAGGTCTTTCACCTCCTTGTTGATTGCTTATTATGGATTGCAATGGGAGGACGGGACGATCCCGTACAATGAGGCGAAACGTCTAATTACGATGGCTGTATTTGAAGATGATGCTGTCGTGTATGTCAAGGGATGCGAGAAACGAACGTGGCTGCGGAACTTGCTTCTGGACGATGAGCGAGAACGCATGTACATCGAGACCTTGGATGCAGTTTACGAAGACATGGAATCTTTATCTAATCTAGATGTTACTAATATTATACGATGTGGACAACATGTTAAGAATTGCGTTACAAAATGTATTGAAAATATATAACTGGTGGTTGCAAAAGAATTTTTTAAATAAAAATATGTTAACGTATTTATTATATATTTCCTTTCCCTTCCTTTGTAATGTATAAATGTTTGTATGAACGTACGTATAAAACGTGTATAAGCGTGTGTATAAACGTATGTACATATAAACGTATGTACGTATAAACATATGTAAGTATAAACGTATGTACGTATAAACGTATGTACGTATGTATAAACGTATGTATAAACGTATGTACGTATGTACAAACGTATATATAAATGTATGTATAAACGTATGTATAAACGTATATATGTATAAACGTATGTACGTATAAACGTATGTATGTATGTATAAACGTATGTATAAACGTATGAATGAACGTGTTAGGGAGAGGACCTTGATGTTCCCGCTGTACTATGTGGAGCGCTATTTTCTCATTGTCAGAGATCTGTGTCTCGTGCCTTGTGACCTGTCCGTGTCGGTTGGTCAGCGTGTAATAAAATATAATGAACTCTGTATTGATATAAGACCTCTTTTATTGTACCGGAATTACACTCGCGTCTTTTATAATAAAGTTAAAATAAAATACAAAGGTTAAGTAATTAAAACTTGTGCACAGTTGTGCACGTGCTATTCGCGAGGAGGTCGCACACGGAATCTTCCAGAAACCCGACAGCGTGTGAAGCGCGGCGGTTACACGCAGGCAGCATAGTCGCGCGCATGCCCTCCTCTTCGGTGGGCCCCATCAGCGACACGACACGTCGGTATCACGCCGCAAAGCCAATGGGCTGGTATCAAGCCTGCTAAGCTACTAACACTGACAAGCGCCAACAGAACGTATGTATGTATAAACGTATGTACATATAAACGTATGTACGTATGTATAAACGTATGTACATATGTATAAACGTATGTATAAATTCATGACAATTCATGAAAATACATAGAAAAACTTGATAAAACGTGTCGCAACATTCGAAATTCTTGGAAAGAGGAGGAGAATCTGCCTTCTCTCATCGATTCCAAAAGTATTATGTCACAATTTACACAGATGCAATCAGTCTTGCGATACCCGCTTGTACGAACGGCTGAAAAAATGTATTTCGCTAAAGAGAGCAGTGCGTCGATGTGAAGAAGGAATATAACATGTAAGTTTCAACGTTCTATACACAAAAGTAACGTTTTTTAACATTATGTATGTACACAGTACGGAGCATCGTGCAGTGCGTTTACTGAGCAGACGTTACGATCTGACGAATACGGGCTACAAATTTTTAGAAATTGGAATCAACGTTGGCCCACCGAGTTACGTGGAGGTCGCCCTTGGAGATCATCGCGGACACGAACTATCGCTGTCTCTCAAAACGTGGAAGAGCCTCTACGAGCAGCGAGGAAATATTTACAAACTGTTTCGAAACGAATACAAGGATAATTTTATAAGCGTTGGACCGTCAGTGTTTGCATGCTGAACGATGCTACGCTCATACGTCTCGATTCTTCATCCGTACGCATTACGATGACCGAAACGACGCAACGCCGTATGTTTGATTTTAACAGGTATATCGATGTAATGTTCGAACGATTAGCTCGACTCGTCGATACGGTAGATACCAAGTATACGCGATTCTCCAACATCGCATCTGAGAACATTATACGTGATAGCGATATCTTCAATGGACATCAACTTGTCGATTGCGAATTATTAGCTTTAGTTTTTATTAGGTGTTGGAATTAATTCGTAGCGTTTTACAAGTGATGGGAAGTACTTTCATTAATGTATTTTTTAATGCTCATGTGAAATAAATAACATTCTTTCATTAAAAAACGCTACGAATTAATTCCAACACCTAATAATAAGTACGAAAACCGATGTAATAAGATGTAAATAAAAAATTTTTGTTCGCATTATTACGTATATATTGTCTTTTATTTCCCATCCTTTGCCTCGACGCGCCAGGAAAAACTATATGAAAAAAATTGTATCATACAAAAGAAACTTGTACTCTATTGATTCTTCCATCCTTTCTTCACTCATAGCACGTTACATGCTCCGTCGCGCGTTCTATCTTTCTCTAACATGCAAGCCTTTATTACCGATGCATTTTTGGAGAGAGAACGGCAGATGACGACAAAAAAATAAGGAGCCCTATGTTTACATAAGAGCCGAAACCTTTCCCTCTTCTTCCCCACGTTAGGTATTCCCGCGCCTACGAGTACTCCTCGCATCCCGCGTTCCCCTCTAGCCCCATGGATTAGAACCCGCCTAGTATTACTACTTTAGTTTTTAGTACGTACAAAAAAATCAGTGTAATAAAGTGTGAATAAAAAAAATTCGTTCGCATCATTATATATATGTACTTTATTTTACTACCCATCCTTTGCCCTGACACGCTCGTAAAACAAAAAAAAGAAAAAACACAACATATTGCGAAAACTAAGTCATAAAAAAAATTAAGAAAAAAAAGAATCGTACTCTACTGTTACGTTCAAACCCGTGGAGATTTTAAATTTATGATCCTACTGGAGAAAAGAGGAGCGGGAATGGTGAGGGTACCTGGTAGGACACAGTCAGATTCTTGTCTCGCAGGTATCCGCGAGTACCGTGAGTCGAACGCATCTTTTTCGTGCTCGCCTTGAAATATGGGTCGACGTCCCGAAAAGACGCTATGATACCTGTTTTCTACGAGCGATGAGATCATCGATCCGAATTTCGAGTCAAGGAATCTAATCCCTTCAACTCGGGAACGGACGTGCGATCTCTGAAAAGGGCAAGATTAAATGAATACGAGAGTTTTAGGGTTTTAAAATTAAAAAAGAACGAGAAAGAGATAAAATTATTAGTAACGTTTATTGTTCCTGATCATTATCAATCGAACAGAAGATAAAAAACAAGATTATACCTTAATAAGTTTATTTATTATAAACTAATTTACATATTACAAATCGACATGATAATCTTTACTAATTAACATTTAATGATTATTTAACAATTATTTAAATTTTATGCATGTTAGTTGGGTTAAATTGCTTGAGAATGAAGATTTACAGGGCAAACAGAGTACACAGATTTTGTTCAGTCTATTTCATGGATAGTAACGAAGGAAGGAGGAAAAAAATTGAAAAAGAATTCTACCGGGATTAAATAAGGGTTGGCGGAATCCGAAATAAATACCGGAATACAGGAACAGGGACGTAATTCCATGCCGGATTTTGTCTGGATCGAAATAATGAAGCCCAATCGTAAAGACCTCCTCGGGAATAGGTGCGGTAGTCCGTGGGAATTGTCTGACGAGTGACTCAAATGAGTCACTCTCTTGGATGTAAGATTTCGGTGGTAGTGGAGAAATTTCTTCTAGGAACTCCACACTGACTGTGGAATTCATCGGAGATGGAGTTTCCTCTGGGGAAAAATAGTATGGAGATTACGAATAAATCAGGTGTTACCGGAGGGATATCAAGGAAAATTCATTCCGTTAGAGCATCCGAAAACGGGTGACAGAGATAGAAGAGGAGATGAAGGAGTTCGAGGGGGTGGTGAAGAAGTTCGAGAGGAAGGTGAAGTTCGAAAGAGAGTGATGCGAATTCCGGGCCGCTTGCAGCATACGATCAGCGCCACCGGTCGGCGGCCTGGCGCAACCGGTAGCAACACAAGCATGAACCCGTGTCCGTGTGACTTGGTTAGTTAGAAACGTACCGACTATATTCTTTTTGTAGAACTATGTTCTTATTGCTTGCCTTGTCGGCGCGCTGAGAACGAGAGAGAACCTTGCTATTTCAGTCAGGCGAGCGTCGAGCAACCGAAATATGCTTTCTCGGCCTCTCGGCTCTCGGCGTCAGGCGTGCGTCAAGAGGCATGGAGACATGGGAATGTTCTAGATAACATATAAGTTGTAATAAATTGTAATAAATTGTAATATACCCCTCTCATAAATCCAGAATATTATAAATCGTATCAAAACGCGATAATTGACGGAAGATTAATTGTTTATGATTTTCCATTCGTGTTATGTACTACGGTCATAAATTCGATCCGCAAGAAATTGGCGTGGTCGAGCGCGTAAGGTGTGAGATCGGAAATAAGTACTATAATTAGTAGTAAACATATGTATTAGGTCAAATATATTTTCACATAATATTTTCATATATTTTTGAAATTATTGTTCGTATGTGTAATTTTTAAGTAATAGTTGTAGGAAAAAACCAATTTGCTTTTCAATAAGCAAATAAAAAATTATTTTAATTACACAACATATGAAGGCTTTCAATTGTGCACTACAAAATTATATTGGTATCATCTTTATTTATATTATTAGTAATCTCGTTTTCGAAATTTTGTTCACAGAATTTTAAATGCGGATGTGATAGAAAGAAACATTTCATACAAAATATTGATCAACTCAAAGCGTATTTATCATAAACGCAACATCATTCAACATGTTTGTTTTAACAATAGAAGTCAAAACGTAGTTAAACTTAAAACAATATGATTGAAAAGGCATACACCATGAGCGCAAGATGTTAGTAGCGAAATATTTATATTTTAATAAATTACCATAGAATAAAAACAATACAATGAAATAGACCTTATCTATCAGGCCATCTTCAGTATTACAAAATTAATGCGTGTTATAACTTTCATACATGTTGAGAACACCTAATTTCGAATAAATTTTATTCACGTTATAATAATGAGATAAAATATTTTTTACGTTCAATTATAATTATATTTTCGAAGAGCTTGATGCTCAGATTATTGTTATAAATTTGTTTAATCCATAAAATCATGTCAAATACTCCAGATGCCAATTGTCGTTTTTTTGTCACAACAATTAGTCGAACTTATTGAAACACATAATTTCCAGATTCTATTAAATGTGAAATTTATTAATAATGTTAATAGCACTTCAATTGAAAAAATTAATATAACTGTATATATATATATATAAATTATGATACCCGTGTTAACAATAAGTTGAGTTGTGTAATCCAAGACTTGGAAAATTATATTGAACTGAGTCGAAAATAAAATATCTAACCCTAATCATGAAAGACGGTTTATATACAATTTTGTTTATTTATGAAGATCATTTCTGACGTTAGTCTCTTTTGAAAGAATGATTCTATATCTAATATCTGAATATTATCCCAATTAAATTGTGACAATATTCAAATTGATGTTGTGAAATCACATTGTGAGCGCTATTTAATTTTTTAATGTTAGTTTTATGTTCATTTATTCCAGTTTTAACTTTCCTTTTAGTTTGACCTACGTAAGAGAGATGTTTTTTTTATATGAATCTTTCATCGATTAAGTCGAGTGGCTCACTACTAAGATGGAGTGATATAGTTGCGGACCGATAAAATGTCGGCTTGCTGAATGACTTGTATAGTCGCGATCCGGCAAAATTTCGTGTCGGAGATGGAGCTTGATTGTCCCTTTGTTTGTGAAGGGCCTCCTTTTTATATTCGCGAGCTAGTGGTGCCGAGCGCAGGCCTCGCTTATGTTACTGATCTAATCTAGGATTAGGATTAAGGATATCGATTGTGAAATGGGATACTGGGATATGTGTCTAAGACTATTTTCATCATCGATTTACCAGATGTTCAATAGTTTAGAGCCTACACATGTGTAATTTATTACCGACTGCTGTTTCAGTTTGTAATTCCTAATCTATTTACTTCTTCTGTCCTTCGGGATAAAGTTCGTCTATTTGGCACTTGGTTCAAATTTTTAATCCAACAACTTCGTCCCGAGTGTATTATTAGTCTTAAAAAAGCGAATGTTATTCGGCTCGTTACTATTGTAACTTTTTATGGTAGAAACAGATGGTCTACCGGTGTTACTTATTAATAACTTTTATGATGATAACAAAAATTCTAATCGAAGAAAAAACTGGAGTCTGGACGTAATACTATCGTCGCGCTTTATCTTTTTCTGTGAGTCTTTGTTATCGATGCGTTGTTGGAAAGGGCGGGCAGCGGGTGACAAAACAAATATGGAACGCATAGCGAAATGTCAGCACGCGTATTATGTTTATGTAATTCATCGACCGGAGTCGATACATAAACATAGATCTCTAGTTATCATTGTTTACATAAACAGCGATGCCGGCGATCGGGGATCTTCCCCGCACTACCCTCTTCCCCCCGTGCCTATGAGTATCCCCCGTGCTCCGCTTTCCCTCGCCTACGAGTATTCCCCGCGCTCCGCTTTTCCTCACCTACGAGTATCCTCCGCGCCCCGCACTCCCCTCTAACTCCTGGGTTAGAACCGGCCCTATCTTATTACTGACTTTGTTAGATTTCGTGTAATATTCTCACGTGTTCTAGAATTCTGTAGATTTTTCGTTGTGATAGTTCTCATTATTCTCGAGGTCGAATTTTGTTTACGCATTAAATACGGTCGACTATCACTGTGATCATTGATTAGGATTAATTTCTTTAATTACTGTCTCAACTGCTCGCAGAA